CAGTAAGATGACACAACTTCCTTGGGAGCACCACATCATTTTCAGATTAACTGCCCATGCCTCCTCTCAAGCTCTCACTTGAGACACTTTTGCCTCCCTGGGAGGCTCAGACAAGCAGCAAAGCACATTCCACCTCTACACACTGTGCCCCAGACCCAGCTCCATCTCTGGGCACTGCTGCAGCCAGAGCCTCAACCCCTCTACCACAGCTGCTCCACCATGAATTTCTCCCAGTGCTGCTACAAAGAGCTGTCCATCCAAGGCTATGTCTCCTAGTTAGCAACACGACTGACTTATGCTAACCAAGAACAAAATGAGAATTCTAAGAACTTTTTTAAATTATTATTACTTTTATTTGAAAGAGAACCACCCCAGTGGTTTGAGTGTGGTTCATACTCCTCAAGGCAGATTTCCTCAGCAAGCATACTTTTAAATACTGACCTTCAGGAAGCTGTGACAAGCAAAAACTTTCTAACATGAACAAATCCACTTGAGGATACAAATTATTAAAATTATTAACGAAAAGTAGCAAATACAAAAGCCTTTCTGCTCTCCCAGCTGCCAAAGCAATGAAGATGCATATGGCAAACAAGAAGTTTGGCACAAGACATTTGGTGCTCCCCCAAAGCAAATAACAGTTGAAATTTCTGGCGAAAGTATGTGCTTCTATTTAAATAAGTGTCTGGTAAAACCACAAACATCTGTTACTCTGCAAGATTTTAAAAAACAAGAGGTCCTACTCATTTAGCTGCTCCTAAGCAGGTAAAATCCCTACAGGAATCTTTCCTCTGATATTACCTCAAAATGTCCCAGCTCTGTTTTGCAGCACATCCCATCCGCATTACGTTACCCAAAGCTAAGTGTACTTGAAATCAGGTTCACACCTCTCTTACCTCAACGTCAAGTACTTCCACCGTGTTGTCCAACATCTTTATCTTGATCTGCAGGTCCCTCTCATGCGTTCTGGCAGGTGATAATGCCATTGCAGTAGAGAGATTCTGTCCCGGCTCCAAAGTGCTCACCCCAGCGTTCTTCTGGACACCCAAGCGAGAGCCAGGAGTCTGCAGGACCCTGTATGTTCCTTCTATCTCTCCCATTTCTCAACACCAAGCAAAGTCCACATGAAACCTAGAATAGAGAATTGCAGCATCCCAGGTGAAAACACCATCAACGTACAGCCCTTGTCTCTTCATCCCATCATCAAAACAAAGAACAAACGTGATGAAATACTGCCAAAAAAAAAAAAACCCAGCTGCTGAGGAGGAGGATAACTACTGCAGAAAACAGTTAGAAAATAGGATACTCAAACTTTTGCCCTCCCCACTCCTTAAGCGCTGACATTTTCATTTCTGCCCAATTAATTTTTCTGCTGATTTTGCTCCCTAAACCAGGTCACCACAACCAGCAAACACTGCTGACGGCACAAGAAAAGCCACGAGGAACAGCCAAGGGGAGCGCAAGGCTCCTCCTTCAGTGGTACCAAACCAGCCCGCTGGCTTTGCTACAAAGTCACGACACACCCCGAGATAACAGGAGCAATTAACTTTCTTCATCCTTTAAAGTGATGAATCTCATAAAACTGTGACCATTTCAACCAATGCTGGCGGCTCAGAGCTGCCATAATGCAGATTTCTGTGGCAGATAACTGCATCTTACTAGCAAGCCTCCACTGCACCCAGACTAAATCAGTGGGCAAAAATCTCAGTTAAAGAGATCTACTGCAGCTCAAGCAGGCCAACCTCTACGGAGCGTCCTTGCTTTCATGGTGTGGCAGCAGTTGTTGCAAGCAGAACAGATGTTTAATTTGACGCAGAGGAAAAAAGCACAACAAAAGCCCTCAGAGCTGTTGTTTGTGTTCCCAATGCCCTATAGCGGGGCCAAACATTTGGTGCCATGTGCTATGCAACGATGAGAACACAGAAGAGGGGATCAAGCTGCTCAGCAGCTTCCAGATCTGCAGCCTGCTCCTGGGTGCAGCACACAGCTTCCTGCCTGCTCCAAGGGAACAGCAGCTCCAAAGGGCAGCCTCTGCAGCTAGGGCCAGCTCTTGTGTTCTGGGGCTTGTACAGCTCAACTGGACAAACTTGCCGTGGCACAGGAGGCATGTCTGAGCAGCATACCTATCCCTGCTAAGGGGCTGGGCTGGCTCCATCCTTCAGAGACCACCCCAGCAGCACAGCTGGAAACCACCACGGGGAGGCAGCCCCAGCCCTCCTGCTGCTGATTTTCACAACAAGAAAGCATGAGAAGGATGATCTCAACCTGAAAAGTATGCACGTACTGCCCATTGGCTGACCTACCAGTTCCAGTTATGATACATTAGAAGGAAGTTCCTTTCTCAGACTGGTTTGTGTATTTTATTTCACCATCCTCTCCTGATTGTGCGGCCACTCATCCACTGCCAAGACCTAAAACCTTTAGATCACAAGATTGGAAACCACCTCCACAGCAGAAATCTGCAGACACTTGCACAAGTAACATCTCTAACTACCAACACAAAGAGAAACCAGAGCTGGCTGCCACAATATCACTTTGATACAGAACCTCCTAGAACTTGAAAGTGTAGGAAGGTTTTACTGCTGTTATTCAGAAGCTTACAAGCAACCCAAGTTAACTCACAATTAATTATACATATCACCATTAGGTTGTTTAGCAGAGAACCACTCCACAAACACGTTCATCCTGCTCTAAGTCAACAGTCACTATAAGGGACAGGCACTGCTGGGGGTGCCTAAGGAATAAAGCCCTCCAGCTGCCTTCTGCTCAGCTGCAGCCAGATGGTACCTGAAGGTATGTAACACAGGTGGCCAAACTAAAAATCAACCAGGAGATCCTGGGTTTTTACTAGCTGTAGTGATAAGGCAGGAGAGCGCAAAGCCATGACAAACAAGCTGCAGGTGGCAAAGTCCTTCCTCACAGGTGTTACCAGGAAAAGTGAATGCCACTGGGCACTCTCACATCAATGCAGAATTAAAACGTTGTTAGCACAGAATTACATTTCCCTTGCGTTCACCCAGCCCGTTCTTCTTTGCCTGAAGCGCTTACCCTGATCATCTCCTTACAAACAGAGACCAGACATCAAAAATAAGCAATACAGTGCTTATCAGCTAGCAATAAATTTGCAAAGGTAGCTTCAAGTAGCCCTTCAAGCACAGCATCTTCTGGTCATTGACAGTCACTGCAGCGCTCCATCCTCAGCCTCCACGCAGAACGAGCTGGGTGCCTCGTGCTCCCATACATACGGGGCCACAGGAGCTCACAGACAGCTCTGGAAACAAGCTTCAGCTCACCAGGCGCCAGCGTTCAGGCGTTACTGCCGTCACCACCTCAGGTCACCGCTCAGCAGAACCGCCACAGCAGCACCATCCGATGCATCAGAAACCCAACGAACGTGCTGAGAAGGCCGCAGTCCTCAGCCGTGCCTGCCGCTGCCTTCAGCCCACGCTCCTCACTTCCAGCACAAGCTCCATCTCCCCTCCCACCACACGAAGGGGCCGCGCTCCCATGGCCGTGCTGGGCGCTACACAACACGGCGCAGACCCCGAGCCGCCCCGGCACGGCAGCCGCCGTCCCAGGCAGGGGAGGCAGAACACGCAGCACACACCGACAGGCCGTCGGGCTGCTCGCCGCCGAATACAGCCAAACCCCGCATTCCTTCCACCAAACCTCCCCCGTCGCCTCATCGCAGCTCCATTACGACAAAACGGCCGAAGCGCGACGAGGCGGCAGCGGACCGAGCGCGGAGCAGGAGTCGGCGGCGCGCAGGCACCGTCGCCCCGAACGCAAACTCACGCACCGGACGGAACTCCGGGCTCCCGACGCGGCTCCGAGCGGCTCCCCCGGCGGCCGCAGCCCGCACCCGAGGCCGCGGCCCAGCGCCAGGCCGCTCTCCGGCCCGCCCGCCGTGCCGCCCGGCTCCGGGCTCCCCCTCGCTCGCTGCCCGCCCCGCCCCGGGCACGGCGC